GTGTGTGTGTGTGTGTGTGTGTGTGTGTGTGTGTGTGTGTGTGTGGTGTGTAACTGGAGATGAAGCTCAGAACCCCGAGTGTCTCCAGGTCTCCAGTGCTAGGCAGATGTTCCACCTCAGAGCTGTCTCTAGTCCAACCTGTTTCTGTGATAGTAAAGTGTTGGGGTGGGTTTGTTTTCTTCTGAGGAGGACATAGCTTCCCTTGTGAGCTGGCCAGAGTCAAGCCTGTTGGGCTGGACCCCCCAGAGTTCCTGAAGATCCATGGAGTGCAGACTCCACGTTCCGCGGGCACTAGTGGCTGCAAGTGGCACCTGTCCCAGGATGGAGACAGAGCCTGGGTGTCTGAGGGGCCCTGGGGCGTGCTCTCTTCAATATGAAGGACTGAGTAAAATCGATGGCACTCCTGTATTCCCAGCTCTTGGGAGGCTGGGGCTAGCCTGGATGCTCTGGTTTGTTTCTGTTGCTGTGGAGAGCGCCATGACCAGAAGTAACCTGGGGAGGAATGGTTTATCTAAGATTACAGTTACAGTTCATCATGAAAGGAAGTCAAACCAAGAACCTGGAGGCAGGAACTGAAGCGGGGACCATGGAGAAGCGCTGCTCACTGCCTTGCTCCCCATGACTGGCTCGGCCTTACAGCACCTAGGAACACACAGGCCCAGGGCTGGAACCACCCACAATGGGCTGAGCCCTCCAGTGTAAATCATTAATCAAGACAGTACCCTGCAGACTTGCCTACAGGCCAATTTGATAGGGACATTTTCTAAATTAAGTTCCCTCTTCCCAGATGACTCATGCCTGTATCAAGTTAACAAAGAACTAACTAACCAGCATGATGAACTACAGACATTCTCTGAGAAAACAAGACAGACAGAAACCGCACAACAGACACACCATGGCCATGAGCTGGACAGAGGGCTCAAGGAAAGGGACTCTTCTGCCACCCTGTCAACCTGAGGTCAGTGTCCAGTGCCCACAGCTGGGCAGAACAGCCCTGAAGGTTGCTCTCTGACCTCCATACCTGCTTATGATGCACACACAGATTCAAGGACAGCTTCCACTACATAGTTCAAGGCCAGTCCAGGATGCATAAGACCCTATTTCTAAATTTGAAAAGTGAGAAACGAGAAAAAGAGGAAAAAGAAGGGCTGCCTGTCTTCAAGCTCGCCGTCGAGAGTGGCTGGCATGTGGGCTCTGTGGGTCTGAAGAGAAGGAAACAGATCTGGGGCTTCTCTGAAAATACAACACAGCACTGTAATTAGGTTGTTTGGGATTAGTTGGGCTTTTTACGTGCGGTCAGCTGTAAAATGAGAAGACATCTACGGTAGGACTCGGAGGTAGTCAGTGAGGGAGGCTAAACCAGATGCCTTAGCAGTGAAGGCACTGCAGTCAACCCTGAGTTCCATCCTGGGAATCCACACGGTAGCGGGCCAGAACCAGCTCTTGGAAGTTGCCCTCTGACCTTCACGTCTGTACCATGGCATTCCTATGTGCCAACACTGTGGATAAATGAAATTAAATGAGTGGTCTTAGACCCGGATATCAATATCAGTACGGTTGGGGGGGGGGGGGCTGGCCAATAGGAGATGGGGCCGCAGAGGCCAGGTCAGGCAAGAGGCTAGAGGGTAAGATCAGAAGATGGGAGTGGGTATAGTACAGGGGCGAGATCGGGAGGGGATCTAGTGGTCTGGCTGAAGGGAAGTAGTTAGTGAAGAATGGAGGTGTGACCCTGCATGCAAGGGCTTGACCACGGAAGGGAGGCCTGTTCACCCGTGAGGTCATCGGCTGGGGGCAGGGAGACAAGTGGCTGTGCCTTGAGGGACGTGACAGGCGTGTCTCTTAGACGTCAGAGAGTTTGGGAAGGTCAGCGGGTGGAGGCGTGGTCAGGAAAAGAGGGCATGTTCCTCTGATGAGGCATGGCCAGAGAGGAAAATCTGGCTTCAAGGACACTGTTAGCGGAAAAACGCAGGGTGGCTGTCTCCGAGGCATGATGTAGAGTACAATGCCTGGCTCATGGGCAAGGTTGCCAGGCGGGGACGTGACCCTCCACTCCTGGCGTAAGAGATGTGGTTAATCAACAGCAGAGGTGTGGATTTGACAGTGGAGAAGTGGTGGTGATTCCTCGGTGACCGCGGGAGGTGGGCGTGGTCAGACCATTGGGGCGTGGCCAGGCTCGTGGAGCCCAGGCACCCAACCAACGCTCCCGTAATCTGCTCAGGCTCGAGGCCAGAACTGGATATTAACGGTCCCGGTCCGGCGGTGTCCGGAGCCGGGTGGCCGAGCTGCGGTCCAGGAGAAGGAGCGGATGTAGGCAAAGGTGAGGAACGGGATCTGAGTGACGCCGGGTCCGGATGAACGGCGCCTGGAGTGGACAGTGCGGACAAGAGCCGGGGGATGCAGGGCAGGTGGGCGGGGCCCGGGAAGGGCCCCCGAGGGGTGATTGTTGAATCTGAAACTGCCCTTGTCACAGCCTCCCACCCACCCGCGATGTGTCGACTGGGGGTCCTGCTGCTGCTGCTCACCTCAGCCTTCGTGTCCTCTGCTGCCCCGATCCATGATGCCGACCCTCAGGAGGGCTCCTCCGGGTTTCTGGGTCTTCAGAGTCTTCTTCAAAGCTTCAGCCGACTGTTCCTAAAAGTGAGTGATGGCAGGGCTTTGGGGGGCAGAGAAAAGAAAAAGAGTCAACAGAACAGAGAGGTCTGGAGTCGTGTCTCAGAGGGTGGAGTGATTGTCTAGCATGCACACGGCCTGGGCTTGATTGCCCAGCACGGTTACACCAGCACTCGGGAGATGGAGGCAGGGGAACAGAGTCCAAACCACCTTCTCCCACATAGGAAGTCTGAGGCCAGCCTAGGATACACGAGACTGTATCTCCAAGAAAAGCAGGATTGTAAGGTAGTGGGCTGAACAGACAGATGATGCAGGACAACACAAAATAGGAAGAGAAGCTGGGCCTGGGGCTGAAAGGTCGTCATCCCAAGTAGCAGGTCACATGAAATCCCAACAAGTGAAAAAAAAAAAGTTCAAGGTCAGCCCAGGCAGCTTTAGTCAAACCCTGTTTCAAAAAATAAAAAGCGCTAGGCCTGGCTACCCATGCACTTGGGAGGTAAAGTCAGGACACTGAGTTTGAGGCCAGCTTGGTCTGCATATCGATTCCAGGTCAGTCAGAGCTACACAGTGAGACCCAGTCAAAATACATACATAAAAGAGGGCTGGGGTGCAGTGGCTGAGGGTGTGGCTCAGAGGTAGAGCCCCCAGTAAGGGGCCCCCAGCCTGCCTGCCCAGTATGTATGGGGTTATGGGTAGAGAAAAGAGCCAGGACATGGTAGCCAGGTAGCCAGGACATGCAAGGGGCAAGAACAGCAAGGCACTAGGACAGAAAGACAGACAGGTATGGTGGCAAGAGGCCCTGGGGATGGGAGGACCAAGGGAGAAAGGGATGGACTGACTTAGAGCAAGGCCTCGGGACACCCTGGAAGTGCAGCGGTGCACACACTGTTTCCCTCTGGCCTAGGATGACCTACTGCGAGACCTGGACAACTTCTTCTCCTCCCCCGTGGACTTCCGGGACCTTCCCAAGAACTTCCATCAGGAAGAGAACCAGGAGCACAGAATGGGGAACCATACCCTCTCCAGCCACCTGCAGATAGACAAGGTGCCTCACCAGGACAGTCCTTCCCGAATTCTCACTGCCACCCCTCATGCTGCCCTTCCTGACAGGAGAGAGGAAGGTGAGGGAGGGAAGCAGGCTGGCTCTGACGCCTTGTGTAATCCTCACAGGTGACCGACAACAAGACAGGGGAGGTGCTCATCTCTGAGAAGGTGGTGGCCTCCATTGAACCAGAGGCGAACACAGAAGGGGACTGGAAGGTAAGGCCCTACCGCATCCCCAGGTACCCAGGAATCAGCATTTTTCTATAGTCGAGGAGGTCCACTGTGCCACACTGTTCCAGCTTCCCTTCTGTTACTGTCAAAAACCACTCCAGCCAAAGCGGCGTAGGGAAGGAAGGGCCTGGTTTACAGCCCTTCAGGAGGGGAACTTTCTGCATCATTCATTTCTGCTGTCAGGAGAGAAAAAACACATCTTTGCTTGCTTTGTCCTGTCTTAGGTGGGTCAGGACCCACTAGGGAGTGGTGCTGCCCACAGGGGACGTGGTCTTCCCACATCAATTAACAACCTTGATCTAGTGAATTCCCCATCAGGGTCTCTTCCCAGGTAATTCTAGGCTGTGGCAAGTTGGCATTTAAAATTAGCCAGTGAACACTCTGTACATGGAATATCCTCAAAATTTCTGGGGCTCAGTGTGACAAGTGTCAAAAGGGACAGGTCAATAGGTGTGGTTGTAAACACAGGTGATCCCAGTACTTCGAAGGCTGAGGCAGGAGAATTGCCACAATTTTAGGCCAGAGGCAAGAGGATCTCTGAGTTAGAGGCCAGCCTGATCTATAAAGCAGGTGCCATGGGCTGGAGAGATGGCTCAGAGGTTAAGAGCACTGACTGCTCTTCCAGAGGTCCTGAGTTCAGTTCCCAGCACCTACATGGTGGCTCACAACCACCATCTGTAATGAGATCTGGCATCCTCTTCTGTGTTCATAATAAATAAATCTTAAAAAAAAAAAAGCAGGTGCCAGGCCAGCCAGGGTTACATTATCAGGACCCTGTCTCAAACCAAATACAAAACCATCAGAAAGTGTTTTGGTCTTCTCAGAGAGTTTTAGGGTCTCCAACAGCTTTGTGAACTTCAGTCTTTGAGAAGTCCACTAATTCCAGAATACAGGGCACATCTCGGAGGGGTTTTGTTTATTTTTATTTAGTTTGGTTTGTGTGTGTGTGTCTATGTACATACATGGGGATGCCCAAGTAGGTGTTAAGTTCTGTTTGTTTTGTTTTGGTTTGGTTTTTTGTTTTTGTTTTTGTTTTTGTTTTTTTTGTTTGAGACAGGGTTTCTCTGTGTAGTTTTGGTGGCTGTTCTGGATCTCGCTCTGTAGACCAGGCTGGCCTGGAACTCACAGAGATCCGCCTGCCTCTGCCTCCAGTGCTGGGATTAAAGGTAAGTATCAATCACTTTCCACAGGGTCTCCTTGTGTAGCCCTGGCTAGCCTTGAACTCACAGAGACTGCCCCGCCTCCACCACAATTAACCTCTTAAGTGCTGGGATTAAAGGTGTCGGACACCACAACAGGCCTCTAGCTTATTTTGGGGGGACAGGATTTCTCACCAAACCTGAAGATCATCCATTAAGCTAAGCTGGCCGGTCAGCAAACCCCGGGATCCTCCGGTCTCTGCCTTTCCCGCTGCCATGTGTGGCCAATATGAGCATGCGCTGCAGCCCCTGGCTGTTACCTGAATGCTGGGGATTGAGCACAGACACTCACTCCACTGACAGAGCCTTTTCTTGAGCTGGGGTCTCACTCCACAGCCTAGGCTGACCCTGAGCTTTCAATGCCTGGGAAAACAGGCCTGCACCATCAAGCCCAACTGAGGTTAAGGGAATTTCAGAACAGAGTGTGACATAGAGAGCCTGGAATGGTGACACAGCATGTTTGTTTTCGTGGTTTACTTTATTTTGGTTTGGTTTTTGGTTTTGGTTTTTTGAGATAGGATCTCCCTATGTAGCCCTGACGTCCTGGAACTTGCTTGTATTTGCAGACTGACCTCCAACTCTGAGATCCACCTGCCTCTGTCTCCTAGATGCTGGTTTTAAAGGCGTGTGCCACCACAATGACATAATTTAAGGTTTTGATTTAGAGTGACCCAGCATTTCTGTCTCTACCTCCTAAACGCTGGGATTCCGAATCTGAACCACCACACCAAACTTAATGCCTTCTTTTTTTCTTTGTTTTGATTTTTGGAGACACCTTTTTTCCATATAACCCTGATTGGCCTGGAACTCACTCTGTAGACCAGGCTGGCCTGGAACTCACAGAGATTACTCTGCTGCTTCTGCCTCCTGAGTGCTGGGATCAAAGGTATGCGCCGCCATGACCCAGCTAATGCCTTTGGTTAAGAGTACTGGCTGTTTTTCCAGAGGACCCAGGTTCAATTCCTAGCATCCACATGGCAGCTCATAACTGTAAATCCAGTTCCAGGGGACCTAACACTCTCACACCAATGAGGGTACATAAAAAATAAAATAAAATGAATTTTTTTTATATATATTAGCCATACAGTGGCCAGAAGAGGGCAACAGACGAGTTAGATGAGCCTGGGAGATGTTTGCCATGGGTGCTGGGAACTCAGCTCCTGTCCTTCCTGTCCTCTGCAAGGGCACTGCTGATGCATGCAAGGGGTGCACACACTTAGCATTCAGGCACAGCCTTGCAAACGTAAGATAAAATAAATCTCTAAGGCAATGGTGGGAGTTTAAAAACAAATTTGTATGCTGGAATGATGGTTCAGTGGTTAAGAGCACTGGCTGCTCTTCCAGAGGATCCAGGTTCAATTCCCAGCACCTAATGGCAGCTCACAACTATAACTCCAGTTCTAGGGAATCTGGTATCCTCACATAGACATACATAAAGGCAAAACACTAATGCACATAAAAATAAGTCTTTAAAAACTAAATGATAAAAACAAACAAACGTATTTATTACATAAAGAATGCAGCAGGCCAGACAGAAAACAGAAATGTCTGCCCCAGAAGCACTAAGTGAGCTGAGATATAGGTTGAGGTGGCCCAGCTTCTTGGATGTGCTGTATGGCATTTGACCGGGATCTCCCTGTGCCTCACATTACCAGGTACCCAAAGTGGAGGAGAAGGAGACCCTGGTGCCTGTGCCGAAGGCCATAGACAGTTTGCACCCCGAGCCCCGGCGGGTGGCTTTCTGGATCATGAAGCTGCCAAGGCGGAGGACCCAGCCTGATGTGGAGGATGGGAGCCACTGGCTCATAGAAAAGCGACATCGCCTGCAGGCCATCCGGGATGGGCTCCGGGGGGGCGCCCATGAGGACAACTTTGAGGAAGGGGTCCATGTCCCCCAACATGCCAAGCTGCCTATACGAAAGACACACTTTCTCTACATCCTCAGGCCATCCCAGCAGCTATAGGGTGGGGACTGGATGTCCCTGCATGTCTTCACCCTACCCCAGCACCATATGGAAATAAAGGTTTTCTTACGTCTAACATTATCTCCTGTGTTGATATTTTATTTGTGCTCTAACAAATAAAGCCTGCCTGGAGATCAGGGAGCTAGCTGCTAGTTAGCCATAGAAGCCAGGCAGTGGTGGCACACACCTTTGATCCCAGCACTTGGGATCTCATGCCTTTGATCCCAGTGCTTGGGAGGCACAGGCCTTTAATCCCAGCACTAGGGAGGTGGAGACAGGAAGCAAGATGGTTGGGCAGAGAGAGGAATGTAAGGCGGGAGGACACAGGAGCTCACACCCTTTTCAGGCTGAGGACTTGGTGAGGTAAGAGGTGGCTGTGGCTTGCTCCTTTGTCTCTCTGATCTTTCAGCATTTACACCACTATCTGGCTCTGGGTTTTTATTAAGATCAATTAGGATTTGTGCTACATCTGGCATCCAGCTTTTTAGGCCTCAATTCATGAAAAAGCTGCTTGCCTGTGGTGCCAGAGCTGCAGGCAACCGGGGCCACTACCCCTCCGGCTAAAGTTTTCCTTCCTTTTCCTCAAGCCTCTGAGAGAGGTGGGATTTTTCTTCTGCAGCCTCTGCGGCAAACTCCATAGGCCTTGGGGCTCCAAAAACCAGGGGAGTCAGAAGCTTTCACACATCCATCCCCCTGTGCAGACAGCTGGCTCTTTCTTCTCTCCCGGTGGTTTGTGTGCTTTCCCTGTACCCTTCCTCTGGCTGCTGCCAAACTAGATAGCTGCCTTGAAAATCGCTCAGGCTTCTGTTCTACGCAGAGCAGTCAGCCCCACACTCCATCATCATCTGAATCGTATCATTGACGGATTTGGTGAGACAACTGGGAATTCTTAAAGGGAGGAATTAGAATTTTTTCTCCACATTAAAGAATGGGAAACACTATTACAATGGAGGAAGTTAGGTCTCTGTATGATAATACATTGGACAGTTTGAAAAAGGAGCAATTAAATGAGAGTATAATTAATTTAGATGGGAGTTCCATAATGTCAATTTAAAAAGTCATTTTTTAAAAGATTTTATTATGTATGTATGAGTACTCTATCTGCATGTGCAACTTTATACAAGAAGTGGGCATCAGAGATAGGTGTGAGCCACCATTCGGTTGCTGGGAGCTGAACTCAGGACCTCTGGAAGAGCAGGCAGTGCTCTTAACCACCAAGCCATCTCTCCAGTGCCTAAAAAGTCATTTTAAAGGTTGGTTAATATGAGTGTCAAGATACAAGTTTTAGAAAAACTTATTAAAACAGATCATAGAGATATTCAGACCCAGACAGAGGAACTTAAAGGAGAACCAGTTTCAGCATTGCATTATAAGGTTAGAGAAGAACAGCATAAGGTTTTCAAACAACCAACCTTAATCTATCCAGTAACCTTACAGGAACTGCCAAATGATAGTTATCCCCAAGATTGTGCAAGAGCTGAGTGGACTCCTGTACAAATGTTAGATTTGAGGAGATTCAAGGAAGCAATAGTCTCATATGGCATGCATTCACATTTTGTGAAGCAGATGTTAAACTCATGGTCAACTTGTAATAAAATTATCCCTCAAGTCTGGAGAGATTTGGTTACAGCAATCCTGGAGCCTAGTCCTCAATTACAATGGAGGACCTGGTGGAAAGATGAGGCTAAGTCAACAACAAAGTAGGGCTAAGGGTATGGAAATTTTCCAAGACCAACTTCTTGGAGAGGAAGAGTATGCTAATGTGGAAAGGCAATCTCAATGTCCACACCCTGGCTTTATGCCATGCAGCAGCCTTGAATGCTTGGGACAGATTGAAGAAGTAGGAAACAAAACTGAGTCATTTACTAAAGTTATAGAGGGCCCAAAAGAAACCTTCACTGATTTCTTACAAAGATTTCTTCAGCAGTAAATAGAATGATACCAAATTCAAAAGCTAGACAAATAATAATTGAATCTCTGGCTTTTGAAAATGCTAATGCTCAATGCAAAATGGTAATTAGGCCATTAAAGGCAAGATCAGCACCCCTAGAGGAATGGATCTGAGATAGTGTCAATATTGAATCTCATGACCATGATGATGCTTGGATAGGAGTGGTGATTTTCAGAGATTTGAAGAAAAATCAAAATGTCAAGTATTTCAATAACAATAAACAAGGTTGCCTAAAAAGGGATTGTAAACAGAGCATTCCTAGAAACAATGTTTTTTCTAAGAATAATCCCAACAGAACACTCCTCCCTTCTGGATTATGCAGAAGGTGTGGCAAAGGCAAACACTGGACTAATGAATGTAGATCAACAAGGGACAGTCAAGGTAACTCTTTCCCCATGTCAAATTCAGTTCAGCCATTTCCTGACATTGTGGAAGAAACTCCTTCCCAGAGCAATCAAAGAACCTAATGCCTGTTGTAAGAAACCACACTGCTCTGGATGATAGAACAGCTATAGGAGAGAGAACAAAAAAATTCAGGAGAAACCATAAAACAAATATTTTGACAAACTTCTATAAATGAACAAAGACCAAAATTAAAAACACAAATGATGTTCTTCCTGAAGGTCTTATAGACACAGTTGCAGGTGTAACAATAATTACAATGGAGTCTTGGCATCCAAATTGGCCTCTTCAGGAGGAAAATGTTCAGTTTTTAGGGACTGGTACTTTATCTCAGGTAAAACAGAGTATGAGATTGGTCGAATGTATAGGGCCAGAAGGACAGAGAGGAAAATTAAAGCCATACATGTTTAACAAAGCAATGGATTTATGGGGACATGATTTGTTACAGCAATGGAACACTCAGATTAACATTCCTCTAATCTTAGAAACAAATCATAAATTAATATATGTTTCTGGGAAAAAATATTAGAAGGTATAAAGAACAGCCACCAACCATTTAGGTTGTACAAGAACAGAGCACAACAGCTGCTGATCTTTCAAAGACACCAACAGCCCTGCTTTTAAAATGATTGACAGATGGGGGCTGGAGGGATGACTCAGCAGTTAAGAGCACTGGCTGTTCTTCTAGAGGTCCTGAGTTCAATTCTCAGCAACCACACGGTAGCTCACAACCATATGTAATGAGATCTGGTGCCCTCTTCTGGTGTGCAGGCATACATGCAGGCAGAACACTGTATACATAATAAATAAATCTTAAAAAAAAGTTTGATGGAGCTGGGCGGTGGTGGCACATACCTTTAATCTCAGGAGGCAGAGGCAGGTGGATCTCTGTGAGTTCAAGATCAACTTGGGCTACAGAATGAGTTCCAGGAAAGGTGCAAAGTTACACAGAGAAACCCTGTCTCCAAAAACAAACAAACAAACAAAAATGGTTGATGGACAAACCCGTATGGGTTCAGCAATGGCCTTTAATAGCAGAGAAACTACAGGCCTTAGAATAGCTGGTACAGGAGCAGTTAAATACTGAACATATTGAAGAATCAACCAGCCCTTGGAATTCTCCTGTATTTGTTATTAAAAAGACATCTGGAAAATGGATAATGGTGGTAGATCCAAGAGCTATTTTCATGGTAATTCAACCAACCAATGGGCTCTCTACAATCTAGAATTCCTTTGCCTACTCTGTTACCTAATAGATGGCCTCTTTTTTTTTTTTTGGTTTTTCGAGACAGGGTTTCTCTGTGTAGCTTTGTGCCTTTCCTGGAGCTCACTTGGTAGCCCAGGCTGGCCTCGAACTCACAAAGATCCTCCTGCCTCTGCCTCCCAAGTGCTGGGATTAAAGGCGTGCGCCACCAACGCCCGGCTAGATGGCCTCTTATAGTTATCAATTTAAAAGACTATTTTTTTTCACTATATCTTTACAAGAAAAAGACAGAGAAAGATTTGCCTTCTTGGTGCCTACTTATAATAATTCTCAGTCTGTTAAGAAATATCAACGGAGGGTTCTCCCACAGGGAATGTTAAATAGCCCCACCCTGTGCCAATATTTTGTAAGTCAGCCATTGGAAATAATATGTAAGCAATTTTCTCAATCAGTAGTTTACCATTACATGGATGACATCTTACTAGCTGATTCAAATGTAGGTATTTAGAAAGACTGTTTGAAGAAGTAAAGAAAATTTTGCCTTATTGGGGATTACAAACTGCTCCTGAAAAAAATACAAAAAGGTGATTCTATTAATTATTTAGGATATAAAATAGTTCTACAAAAAATTAGACCCCAAAGGGTACAAATTAGGAGAGATTGATTGCAGACTCTTAATGACTTTCAAAGATTGCTAGGAGACATTTCCTATCTATGGCTCATGATTGGGGTGAAAAATCATGAACTGAGTAATTTGTTTAAAACCTTAGATGGTGACAAGGACTGAAATGGTCCAAGAGACTTGTCAGCTGAAGCTGTGGGAGAATTGGCTTTGGTGGGTGTGGCCGCGTTCCTGCTGAGCTTCTCCAGGCCTGGCTCCAGAGGGCAGCACCGAGCCCAGTCCATCTTTTGTTTAACTGACATCTTTTGTTTCTCCTATCGCCCTATGTGAGTCTTGTCTCAGAGTCTCCCAAGGATACAAAGCCTATGCAAAACTTGGTTCAAGAAACCAAGAAAATCACAGTGCCTGATGAATCCAGGAATTTACACTTGGCATTGTATTTTTGGGAACTCCTTTCAGGTTGTTTTGAGCATATGGAAATCAACTTGCTAAAGTGTAAATATGGAGAGAAATAAAAATGCCCTGGGCAAAGGGAAAGAGCTTCAGTCCTTCAAGGCTGGACACCTGGCAGTCACAAAGGCTAGATTCATTCCTTTTTTTGTTTGTTTGTTTGTTTGTTTTGTTTTGTTTTCTAGACAGGGTTTCTCTGTGTAGCTTTGCGCCTTTCCTGGAACTCACTTGGTAGCCCAGGCTGGCCTTGAACTCCCAGAGACCCGCCTGGCTCTGCCTCCCAAGTGCTGAGATTGAAGGCGTGTACCACCACCGCCTGGCTGATTCATTGTTAAGATGCCTCTGAGTCTTCTTTCCATGGATCCGGTGAACCAACACACCTGTGCCGGGACACTTCGTGACAGGTGGAAGAGAAAATTCAGGATGCACATGTGGATCCTTTGAGTCCAGAG